CATACAAATGCTAGTAATTTTTTTGTCCTGCTGCATTACTGAATTTGGTTATTAATTCTAGTAGTCTTTTTTTTTAGAAATAAAAGGAGGAAAGTACTAACAGACGACAACATTTTACAAAATAGCAAAGGATCAGTACAGACATTACAGAGTTACAAACAGAGTGGTAGGGAATTAACAATGCTTATTGTATTACATATTGATATCCTCAATGTAGTTTCTCATGAAAACACATATAGACATACAAAGCTAATCAACCAATGCCTCACTGACAGTTTCTTTCAGCAAGGAAATACAGGACAGTAGAATACCTGTGTTAACTATCCTGCATATACATATATACAAACTTTCTCCTTCTTTCCCTTCTCTTTTCCCATATTCTAGTAGTCTTTAGGTAGAATTTTTCAAGTCTTTTATGTAGAGGATCACATAATGTGTGAATAATGATAATTTGACTTCATCCCTTACTGTACATATCATTTTTTATTTTGAGAAAAAACTCAATAAGTTGCTAAGTTGTGATCCTTCTGCCTTAGCTTCCCAGAATGCTGGAATTACAGACATGTGCCACTGCCACACCTGTCTTAACCTTTTATTTTTCTTTTTATTTCTGTTAAATAAATGGGGACCCAGCCAGGTGTGGTGACACATGCCTGTAATCCCAGCTCTTGGAAGGCTGAGGCAGGAGGATCACTGTGAGTTTGAGGACAACCTGGTCCACAAAATAAGTTCAAGGTCAACCTGAACTGCAAAGCAGAACCCTGACTCAAAAAAATAAATAAATACCCAAAGAAACCACTTTTACCAACCTCTTCAGCAAAATCGTAATAACTCTTTCCAACAGAGAGCAGCCATATGCTTTTGAAGGCTTGTCATAGTCACAAACAAAATAGTGTGGACTGAGAAATGTAATGCACAGACGTTAGAAACCAAAGCAACTGCATATTCCTCAGTTTGGATCAAAGTTAGACATAAATAGGCATAATCAGCAGTTCACAAATGTTCAATTTACAAGGAACATAAAGCATTCCTATTATAACTAAAAGGTCCTTATGTTCTTTTCAATGCGCTAATCCCAGGAACCAGACAATTCCCAAACAAAAACATTTGGCCACAATCAAAACTCACATTGTTTATGTTATTATTAAATACATTGAGGTGGGCAACATAATTTATAAAATGTAATGCTCATAATTTTCTTATGATTTATACCAGCCAACCTGTTGATATTTATGTTACCAGTCCGGAGAACAAAAATCCAACTGAATGTTGTTTAATTCAATTCTGGGAGATTCTAAATCAATGGTTTATTCTAAAACTAAATATACCATTCTTGGTTTAAACAAAAACTTGATAATTTTTTTTCTTAGATTAAACCCAGGGTAATTATATGGTCTTTTGCCTCTGCAGTGAGTATGAACTTGCTGCCACAATCCTGGAGGACAAGAAATTCGCTGTTATTTTTACAAATTTAAATATCAAGTCTGTTTCTAAGGCCCACTTGTCAGGATGGTGCGAGAGTCAATCTCAGTTATGTTTTAGGTCCCCTCTTTGGGGGTAGGAGCAGTAGACACTTTCATAGGACCCATCAGACCTCCCGGAGGCTACTTGTTTAGGGTGAGCAGTGAGCCTGGCCTACCAGGCAGCCAGACCTGGATGCCCAGCCAACCCCGAGGAGCACTGGCCACTGCCCCACCCCCTCCTCTGACCGCAGGCTCTGCCTTGCTCTTGGACTTCCAGCAGCCATTTCTCCCCCAGTAGGCTTTGCTGTCATGGGCCTCTGCCATGTAGGTCCAGGACGAAAAGACAGATCTCCTCCCAATCTCCCATGTGCCCCTCCTCAGCCTCTCAGATGGCCTGGGAAGCTGTGATGGAGAATACCTTCCAGGAGTAGAAAGAGACAGCAGCTTTAATTCATTCACTGACTGACAGGGTAGTTTCAACAAACATTTATTGACTCTAGAGAACTTACTGTCTTCCAGAGGAAAACAGAAATACAACACTATTCACAACAGGGAATAGAAAACAAATGAATGTTTCAGTAAATTAACCTTCCATATTCATTAGAATAAACACAGCTTAAGACTCTTTATAATCAGAGGTGTTCATCATAATAATTTCATTATTGTTTTCAGTTTACAATATTCTCTAGGCTTCTCAATTGACTCTTGAGCCTACAGGAACCCCCCAGGGACAACTTTTCTGTGTTTTGCATCTTCCTTGGGACATACAGTGCGGTGGCTATGAACACAGCCCAGAAGCCCCCACCCTGTTACTTACTGTCACCCTGTGACCTTGGTCAAGTTAATTGAGCTGTCTGTGCCTCAATGTCATCATCCTGATGAAAGGACAAAGCAAGTTAGAGAGTCTGATGTCCTTAGAATAGCATTTGGTGTGTACTGAGCACTGCTAGCACTACTGTGTCATAATAAAGGTGCTGTCTAGACCAGGATTGCAGAGAGCAGGGACAAGCAGCTGAGCTGTATGGACGGTGAGTGCTGTGTGAAGGGCAAAGCTTTGCTGTAGGACAATGATTCCCAAACCTGAACACTTCTCAGCATCACCAGAGGAGCGCTGCAAACCTCTAGTGCCCAGGCCCAACTTCAGAGATTCTTATTTAGTTGGTCTGAAGTGAGGTCCAGCCCTGTTCAAGGAATTCCCATGGAAGCAAAGGTTGAGCACCCCGGCTCTAGAGCAATCTAACACATGATCCAAGCAGTCACCCTGCGATAAAAAGAATTCACTGCAGAAGGGCCTCTCCTCCTGCTACATGAGGCCCAGCTGTCTCATCAGAGTCACCTGCCTCCTGCAGTCCAGGCATCTGTGGGACACTCATCACCCATCAGGATGTCAGGTCCTGGGCTACTTATGAGGACAAACAAAACCCCTGCCTTCCCTGGTGTGCACTGGACCAGGATGTGCTAAATGTGAAAATGCCCTGAGATGTATTCTTGAGTGAAAATGTTTCATAACTTGATCTCAAGTGTATTATTCTGTCTATGAGTGCATGAATATGAAGGTAACTACCAAAAAAAAAGACCTAAAGGTATACCTTTTATTTCCTATGACTTTTCCCAAAAGAACATATTAATTTTTGTGAAATTAAAAAGTATTCATACCATTTCAAAAATTATAGCAAACCAGGAGTGGGGAGACTTTCATATGAATTTCCCAGGAAGATGTGAAGCAATGTCTGTCTCCAAATTGGGATGGCACTGATAGGCCAAAGAAGGACTGGGACAACTCAAGCTTGGCGAGTAAGCGCATATATTAGGGATTATTTACAGAGCCGTGGATGGCTTCAGGGCAGATGTATTACCAGAGTCTCCATCCCTGCTTGCCAAGCTCCTGTTTACACAGGGTTCTAAGCAACAGCAAAAAAGCAAAAGCAAGAACCAGAATCCATGGGAAGAATTATGTGTTTACTGGCAGCCTGTTCTCATGCTTCTCTGGAATTCTGCTGGTCTCAGCAAATACGGAGATGGATAGCTCCATTTTGCTGAAATCTAATACACAGCCTCAGAACCTGGTAAGGACTCAAAGGACAGCTAAATGGCGGCTGTGATGGTTGATACATTGTGTCAACTTGAGAAGGTTAGAAGGTTAACTCAGCAGGGGGGCCAGGGCCCTCACTTTGTAAATATCTTCATCTTGTGCAAGAGGAGGGCACAGAGATGGTGTAAGTGCTGCACCTACCCTAGGGTGGGTAGCCTGCATACAATACAAAGGAGGAAAAGAGGCTTGCTGTCTCCCCACTTTTGCTCTTGCTGCTTTTGCTGTCTTCTGTGCCTTGAACTGTTGCCCCTGTGCCATGCCAGCCTGCCATAGAGCCAGCTGATTGCAGACTGAAACCTCCACAAACTGTGAGCTAAATAAACCTTTCCTTCCTTAACTTGGGGTGTTGGCTATTTTGTCTCAGTGGTGAGAGAAAAGTAACTAAGACAGTCCCCTATTACAAAATAGCATTACCTTGGCTAGAGTTTGGACAATTTTTTTTACAGGGGTCCTCTAAGAAATTTTCATGTAGCTAAGTTATTAGACAGATATTATCTTGCCTGTTACTTGTGAGAAAGCTGTTGGCCTAATCAGACATGCTTTTATCTAAACAACTCACCATGATTTAAAAGAGAGCAATATCCTGAGAAATGAGACCTAACACAGGGACAGCAGAGGAAAAGCAAAAGAAAGATAATTCTGGGTGAGCATCTGCTCTACACCGGAGGGGAAAGACCTGAGAGCCGCACTTCCATCTCTGCAGCTTTGATATTTTTACCTGCAACGGATCTAGCAAGTTGAAAGCTACATATCAATTCCTGTATCTAGCCCTCTAGTGGAGATTCTCTATCTTAACTGCAAGTCAGCATCATGTGAAGTAGTTTACTAAAATGTCAATACCTGAAACCCAGACCTATCTAGTCATAAATGTCAAAGACTGAAATCTTACAAATTTTTTCATGAAATTCATATATGTTACCTAGAAGAAGTCAAGGAACAAGAACTTGAAGAGAACACGTTTCATGATGCTCCACTGTTATGGGGGTTCCAAAGCAGAACACTAGACACTGAAGAGTTAACTACATGTTTAGTATGTTTCACATGACCAGGGTTGAAGCCCATTGTTGGAAGAATCATACACACATGCTTATTCACATGTTGGCACCATTCCAGTTATGGGTAATATCATGCCTGCAAAATACTCTGAAAATGACGTCGATCAGAAAATCTTGAACTCTAAGGAAATAAGCTGAGAAAAGGAAGAAATACTTCTGTGGTTCTAGTATTTTTTTTTGAGTATTTCTTTTTTGCTTGTATTTATTTTAAAAAAATAGTACAAGAAAAAGAGCAATAGCAAAATACAAACAAAACAACACAAGGACATTAAAAATGATACGGAGTTTCAAACCAAATGATAGGGATTAACAGTGGTTGTTATATTACATATCGGTATCTTCAATGAAGTTGCTCAAATTACCTAACACTTTGTGTTTGGTTCATTTCAGGCTCGGCTGACCAAAGAACACCGCTGGGGAAGCGCATTACTTTCCAGAAACCACTCCTTGGAAGAGGAATTTGAAAGGGCAAAGGCAGCAGTAGAGGTAACTTTTTTAAAAATGGTTTTGGTTCTTTGCATGTTTCTGAGAGTGGTACTCAAAAACTCAAACCTCAACCAAAATCAGATCAAATGAGTCTTACCTTAGAGGTACAGGGGAAAGCATAATTATGATTGTCAGAATGAGACATTCCCAGGGACCCTTGGACTTCTCAATAGGATGACACACAGGTGTGCCAGTTCTGTGACAGATTATTAATGACTGGAGTCCTGGGTCAGAAAGAAATCTGGGCCTAGTCTGGGGTTTATGGTGAACCAAGGCCTTGTACTTGCTATGCCTCTGTAAGCAAAATTCATGCCTGACAATTTCTTCACCTCTGTAGCATCTAAGGTAACAAATGTCGACAACATGAAGACCTTGCTGACCTTGAGTATTATATATTTTCCTAATTAATAGGAGAAAGGCATGGCTGGGACATTCTAATCAATGAACAATCCATAGTGACCTGAACCATAGCTTCTTTTATTGAAAGTATCCAAAATATTGTCAATAAATATGATTGAATACTTTAATGTGAACACCGACTTCCATATTTGGCCTGCAATAAGGGGTAGAAGACAGGAAGAGCAGCTAAAGGAAAATAACAAACAAAAATCAGCTTTTGCTCCTTTTTGTTAAAAAAAAATCCATTTCTTCCTGGCTGGAACCACAAAACATGCATCACAGATGATATCTGTCATACTCATCAAAGCTTTGCCAGATGGCTGTTTGAGAAGAGAGCTTTTCACTAAACTCAAGCATGCACTTCTTAGGACCTCTGTTTCTCTTACCGATGCAGAATCTTGAAAATTGAAAGCATCTTGAAATATGATTCACTTATGTGGCTACCTTACCCCTAGAATCCACATGAAATGATTATAGTGTGGGTGGTCTTCCAGTAACTATGTACTTGAAGTGCCGTAAAAATCATATTTGCAGTTTAATATTACAAGGACTCTATTCTGAGAAATAAATTTCCAGCTATAATTTCCTATCATCACTCAGGAGCCCAGTAAAGAGAACTTTTTTTTATTTCACCCACACTAAAACCCACTCAAATTTCTTTTTTCAATTTTAGCCTTTTTAATTAAAAGAACCTAATGAATATTTAGTGCTTTTATCATGGTCAACTGATATATTCGGTTGAGAGCAGCTGAGTTCAACCAAATTGCTCAAATGCATGGGAGCCTGTAGCTTAATTCATCTTAAATGTAGGTTTTCCTGACTTAAGAGCTAATTTAAATTTATCTTTTTAACTCCTACTGTGTGTAGTACCCTGAATTAGCACTTAAAATGTTATTGAGAACTATAGAATCCTGGGTCAGGAAAAACATTAGAATTTGTCTAGTCCTCTTTACAATGAGAAAAATAATGGATTCATACTCAAAAGACTTAATCACAAAGTAATGGATCAACAATGAAAAATGACTACCCTTCTATCAAGCTATATATCCACAAAATCATTCAGTCTTAGTTTTAGAAAAGATCTGAGAAGTCATTTATCCCCACCAGACATACAACATCAATTTTTTTCTTTTATAACACTTAACAAATTATCACCATGTTTCTACTTGAACACGTCTAATAAGGGGCAACTTATTTCTTATCAAGAAAACTCATTTCAGTTTTGGTCAGTACTAATTATCAAAAGGCTCTTCTTTATACTGTATTGAGTTTGGCCCACTGGGAAGTTCCAGATTTACTTGGTCTTGTTTTGGCTTTCCCTGGAACAAGGGAATTAGTTTAATCCCTCACCACGTAGAGCCATGTCTTTCCTGGCTACCTATGTGCTTCCTGGGGCCTGACTTGTTATTCCAACACTTTATTAATAGCTTTGTGACAACATACATCTCATTAACCAATCCATACCTCTGTAGTCCTTTCAGCCACAAATCTTAAGAGGCTGTAAGTTATTTAAATAGTTACTTATTTAGCAAACATTGCTGGCTGCCTACCTGTACAGGCCAGTGAGATAAAGAAATGAGCTAGGCTTAAGAAGCTGTCTAAAAACCAGAGAACCAGCTTCAACAAATAACCTGTTCCCTCTACTTTACTTCCATGTGTTCTAGAAGATGAGGGTCTTAGATTTCTAATAAAACAAAACCCTGTGAGTTTATACTTCCAAGTGAAAAGAATTGCAAGCACAGAATTCCAGAAAAATGTAAGCAAATTTGCCTAGCTAAAAGCCTGGTGCTAAGAAGCTTCCGTAAGGGATGAACAGAGATGGTGCCAACCAGAAGGTATAAACAGATGTGGAGATAAAAGTATATGGGGGTAAAGTATTTACACTAGGATGATGGTAAACCATGCCTGTGAAACTTCACAAATATGGACTGTTTCCCTGCAGATGTGATTCTTATTTAAATTCATAGAATACATAATAATGTGTGTCAAAGAGCCTTGGAAATATACACACCCACTGACCCAGTTACCTCTTAAAATTTATCCTAGCAAAGTAATCATGAATGTGTGCATAATTTTATCTGTAGGATTTTTTAAATAGTGAAAATTTAAAATGTTGAAAAGCACATAAAAAGATTTAGTATAACTGGGACAATAGCTTATATACTGTTTTATAATATAATCCTAACTTTGTAAAATGATAATAGTGTAATAGCTAACATATTAAAACAATAAAGTAGGGCATGGTGGTGCACCCCTGTAATCCTAGCCCTCGGGAGGCTGAGGCAAGAGGATAGTCGAGACCAGTGTGGGCTACAAAGTGAGCTCAAGGCCAGCCTGAATTGCATAGTGAGACCCTGTCTCAAAAATACAAAAAAAAAGCAGTATGTAGCATGGTCCATGTCAAGAACATGTATATATTATCTTTTAATACTCACAACAGTCATATATGAAGAAGATAAATCTACTGTCCCCATTTTTCATGAGAAAACTGAGCTTTAAAGAGATTGCAGCCAGTCGTGTGGCATTTTATAAGTAATTAAAATGGATTGCAAAATGAACTACCTACGTTTAGTTGCCAAGCCATGAGTCCCACTGGGTCCCAGTTTCTGTAATATGAACCACTGATCTGTATGAGCCTCGAGAGTCCATCATGGCCTATTCACCTCCAAAAGTCTGAACCACTTAACACTATCACTGTACAGTGGGGTTTCAACCTATGAACATTAAAAGAATATGTACTCAGAGTTTGTGCCCAAATGTTAATGATAGGTACTGTTGGGTGGGTGGACTTGGAGTGTTATTTTTCTTCTGTTGACTTATCTGTATTTTCCAAATGTTCTGTCATAAACGTGTATCATTTTGGTAATTAGGGGTAAAGTTTCAAGTTACAGATGCTATGAGGAGATTTAAGATTCCTAAAGGAACTCAAAACCTCTTAGTCATTTCAAACCAAAGAATGGCACTATAGATTGCCTTCATCAGAGGCAGTTCTAAGTACAAGCAAGATCCAGATGAAAATTGTGCCTGTAGCAAATGGAACTTTGCTAAAATCTCTACCTTATATTTTAGATCATCTGATTCCAGTGCTCCTTCTAGTTCAGCTTCTATTCTTCTTTTGTTTGTTTTTCATCATCCTGACCAGGGTCTGGCACCAATCCCCACTCCCTCTCTCTCCTGTAGTTCTTTCCCCTTCAAGTTCCAGGTGCTCGCTTTCTCCCCATCCCTTCACACACAAAGTTCACTGCCCAGTGCTCCCACTTTGTCTTCCGTAGGGAACACTTTTCCCCCAGCTCCTCATGCAGCAGGATTTTTCTTATCATTCAAATTGTAGCTGGCATGACGACACCTCAGAAAAGCTGGGCCAGACCACTCGATAACTAGCACATCACCCACAGCTTTGTTAATCATCATTGTATTTATCACTGAGTACTTCCTTGTTTTTGCTTTTGTTTTGTTCTGGTTTTTTGGCCTTCTTTTTTGTATATCATTTCTCTTAAAATGTGACCCCCAAGAGAAAGGAGGGCATTGTCTCTTATTTGCTTCTGCTCCCCAATATCTATAACAATGGCAGGTACCTACAATGTACTCAATAAATATTTGCTGAATGAATGGATAATGTTAATCACTTAATATGGGTAACACGTCTATCTCTTTCCTATTGTATATAAAGTGCTACATAACCTTCTACTGTAACAGTCCTTCATTTTGATAGCTCGTAAACAGACAGTTCTTCTATGGCAAACAAACTTCTGACTGGCCTTTGCTAAATTGTCCCCTGAGGTTGTCTGGGTCTTAGTGTTGGTCAATAAGGTATTCTTATAATAATGCATGGAGTGCCAACTAATCTTGCTATGAAGTTACATTGAGCATATTTTGTGTTTTAGGTAGCATGAACTAATTTTTACTTGTACTAAGTCCTGCAAACATGTGTTTCAACTAATTTTTGAGTGGAAATGTCCTGAAATACAATATCCATTACTAGAGAAAAAACAACTAAAACTGCTACGGCAAACAGAAGCACCGAATGACACCCAGGATCTGGAGGCAGGTTTATTTACATCAACGGGCACTGATCATTCCCAAAGCAGCAGGCTCCAAAGGCTCAGGGAGGAAATTTTTATGGGGTTGCAATCAAGAAGCAGAGTACTTGGTTGTCTTTGATTGGTTCTTACAATATGTGTCTTCTAGGAGATAAAAGCAACCAGGACTGCAACAGGAACTGTTACCTGCGCAACTAAAGTATATGGAGGAGGAATTTTCTGCTACATTTCCCTCCTCTTTTAGTTTCCCCAGCAAATCTTTTCTGAGCATAATGCCTGTGATCTTCTGAGACAAGGCCCAACTAGAAGCAGTAACATTAGGGTTGTCAGTGATCCTAGGACAGGCCCTAACCAAGTCCCCAAGACTGAAAATTCCTACCAGAAGTTTGTGGTTTGTTCCCTTATTATAGGGTTTCTCTTTAAGTTGACTTTGACAAGGGAGTGAAGGAGTTAATCTGATTTAGGAGAGTGTCCAATGTGTCTTGGACACTGGTCAAGTCTTTATCCTGTGCAAGGGCCTTGCTGGTTATTCTCTATTCTCTTGGGGCAATCATCCATAGA